CCCATCCTGTGACCACCAATGCTGATGCATCATTTTTGGCCCTCCTGGAGGGTCAAGAGCAAAACAAGGTCCATCAACCACTGAAACTCTGTATTTTATTTTGCCTCTTCTGAGTATGTGGTTATCAAGTACTATAAAAGTAAAGCTCTGGGGACAAGGAGCATCTCAGATGGTGAAGAAAACATGAGGTCCACTTCATTAGAAGGGGCCATGGACCTTTTACCAAAATGCTATTGGCTCAGATCTCTGCTTAGTTTCTTTTACAGTAGATTGGACAATTTTGGACCCCACATTGTACAGATGAGATGAGTTATACCTGGAGAAAGTGAGTTTCTATCACCAGATGTTTTCAAATGGTGGCTAGATGACCACTTGTCAGGAATGCCATAGAGATAATTACACTTTAAATATGGATTGGGCTGGTAGATATCAGAAATCTAACTCTGAAATCTTATTCTACTAAATACAATAGATAAGCTGTTTGATTTTTCACTTGATTATATACACTTTTATTATTTCCAAATTTTTTCACTATGAAAAACAAATCTTCTGAGCCCAACTTTAGCTTTCTTGCTTTCAGAAACATGTATCTTAAATTTCCTTTGCATCATATTCCATTTTCAAGCCTGTAAGAACTATTCAATGGACGCCTGAGGATTTGACTTTGTGTCTGATTCCAATGTTTTTGGCTTTAGTTTTCCAAATGCAAAGAAGCTAAATGAGTGAGATGATTGGAGGGAATTGACATTATGACATATTACCTACACACTGTTTCTGTGATATTTAAAAATGATCAGATTGGATTGGGAAGTTTGTCTTATTTATTGCACTCCCGCTATCTGAAGTAATCTTGAACAATAGGTTTGAAAATAGTCGCACCTTCACGAAAAGCCAGACCAATTACAAAGAATTGAAAAGCATGAACTATGTAAAGCATTTCAAGGCCCCTGTGAAGAAGTCAATATAACTAAGAGCAGGTGGGGCCTGAAAAAGTTTCCATCTGTATCATCTGTTCCTTTCACACAAAATTTCTTTAACACTTTGCCATTCCATTTAATCTTAGCCTGTGTTCTCTTAGCTTCAGTATCTCATAGGATCATAGATTTAGGGTTGGAAGAGACCTCGGAAGTGATTGAGTTCAACACCCTCATTTTATAGATGGAGAAACTAAGGCACAGAAAGGTTAGTTGATTTGCCCAGACTCCCATGGCTACTGAGTGTCTCAGTCCTAGCATTCCCAAAGATCTTTGATTTCATTAATTTGGATATTTTCTCTTCCAGGGCACAACATCTACACTCCTCGATATGCATGAAGTTTTAAAAGTTCCTAGTATCTTGAATGTCTCTACACTCAATTCTCAGATGCTATGTCTGTCCCTGGGCCTGCACTTCTCAACAGTTGAAAATAAATGCCAGTAGAGACCACTGACATCTCTCTAAATTTTACTTGTGTATTTATGAACCCAACACGATTTAATTTAATTCAATTTATTTAGTAAGCAAATATTATAGACACTGTGAGGGGAAAAAAATGACAGAGTTAATTGAGAGCTGGCCTTTAAGTTAGGAAGACAGGTTCACTCCTTGCTTTTTTATACATACTATCATAAAACCTATATAGATATCTACATGAGTAAATAATTTAACCTTTCAGTGCCTCCAGGCAAATAAGATATAGAGGAGATGCTGACCAGAATGAGTAGAAGTGAGTTTGCATACTCAGGGATTATGAGGTCGATGGAAAAAAGTGCTAGTAACTGATACTCTTAAGTTTTCATTTTTTTTTATGATAGCAAGGAAAGGAGGTATAAACATATGCATGAATTATATAAAAGTCACCTTAAAATAGTAAGCTAATTGAATTTAATTGAAAAAGTTTTCTTTGAAATCCTTATACCCTTAAGAAACAGCATGGTGTACTAGAAAGAGCACTGAATTTGAATTAGGCTCTGATATTTACTCCCTGGGACCAAATGAGATGGTTACACTTATAAAGTATTTAGGATAATGACAGGCACATGATAAGTACTTACTAAATGCATGTTTTCCTTCCTCCTTTTTGACCTTGATCAGGTCATTAAATCTTTTTGAGCTTCAGTTTCCTCATCTGTAAAACCACAGTTTCTAAGGTCTCCTAGTCCAAATCTAGGATTCAATATTTTTACATACACACACACAATTTAAATTATGTTACTATTATAAGACAGAGGGCATTTGTATTTTTCTTACTTAAAGTGGGTAAGAATATATGAACTTGGTTTTATCAGGATACTTGAAATGAAGCAGAAAGATTAGGAAAATTCATGACCCCAGCCTCTAACTTAAATAATTTGGATATCCCAAGTTAAAAAAAGGGCAAGGTGGGGATTTGCTTTCATGGGGAACTGGTATGTTTGCCTAAATAATCTACTTTATATGGAGTTTCATATCATAAAGTTATAGATCTTATATCTAGCAGAGCCCTCAGGATATTATGTATTCTAGTTTTCTGTTTTCTGACAGTGAAGGCATCAGTACTCATATTACTGAATAATGATAAGACAACTCAAGGTTTGGATTTTCAGTAACTTCTCCAAGGTCTCACAGTTTCTAATTCTTAGATGGGAAACAAAACCACAATCTCTTACTATGCTCTTCCTGCTATAGCAGGTTTATAGAATTGAATATAAGGAGTATCAAATGAGAAACAATGTCGTGGTGAACGCTAAAATGGGAATCAAAAGACCTGGCTTCAGTCCCCTGATCTGTCAATTTCTTGATGTGTGACCTTGGGCAAATTATTCCTTTTGAGTTCTAGTTGGCTTAGATTGGACTAGATACCTCCCATATATAAAAATTATATGATTTTAATGGCATGTCTTTATAAAATAGACATTGAAAATGGTATTATAGATTTTTTTCTTTCTTCATTTGAGTGAGCTGTGTAATTTACCTCTCTATTTTTCTATTTCATTGCATTATTCTGAAAAAGTAACTTATCACAATTGCCACTCAAAGTTATATCTACTACCCACACAGGATATTAATATATTTCTTGAAGAAATTTCCTTACTCTTCCATACTTATTCTGTAACCTGCTTCTTTCAAGATTTTTAGTAGCGATATGAATACAGGAGCATTTTAATGTGTGAATCACCACTGATAAATCAAGGTGATATTTGTGTGTGACTATAAAGAAACAGCCTATTCACCCTGACATTTTGTTGTCAATTGATTTATATATAAATAATCTAGAAGAGTTGTCATTTGGTTGTACACAATTCTTCATGACCCCATATGGGGTTTTCTTGGCAAAGATACTGGGGTGGTTTGCCATTTCCTTTCCCAGTGCATTAAGTCAAATGCAGGTTAAGTGAATTGCCCAAGGTCATACAGCTAGTGAGTTTCTGAGACTGGATTTGAACTCAGGCCCTCCTGACTCCAGGCCCAGCACTCTATCCACTGAGCCACCTAGCTGCCTCATTTATAAGAAAGACATTCCCAAAGCTTTCTGAAGCCACTTTTGATGTTTTTGTAAGATCAATTAAAATTTTAGTGCACTTTCCAAAGAGGTTTTGTTTTAATTGTAATTATGAGCTATATGCTAGTTCTGTCTCTACCTGAATCTCTGATTAACCTCTAATAGAATGTGTCTACAGAATCCTAACATTTGGAGCAAATTGGGTTTTACCCTCAGACATCTAATAGAATGTGTCTACAGAATCCTAACATTTGGAGCAAATTGGGTTTTACCCTCAGACATTACATTTAGGAGGTGCTCATAGCACTTACATTCCTTTAGCAGAGTAAGCTTAGCACCTAGTTGGCAAGAATAATTAGTTACAATAGGAATTTCCCAACTAGTCCTTGTCTCCACCTCTGATTGTAATCCCCCAGCTGAGCTCTGTCTCATGTCAATGTAGTCCATTAAGGCTGGTGCCTCTCACCATAATAAACTGAACTTGTCATAGAAAGTTGATTTGAGGGTGCTTTTCATGCTGTTTGCCTTGGTCCTACATTACGAATCTTGACCCAGACATAGAAAGTTCTGACTCTGTCCATATTGGTTTAGAGTTTGAGAAATGATTAGAAATAATTTAGCAATTGGCTGATTATAAAGATGAGGCCATGGACATCAAATCATTCTACCACATGTTCCTTTTAATAAACACATTAAGATTTTTTTTTTCCATTTGTCCAATTTTGTTGACTAACATGATAGACAGGAACTTTCAGAGAACCATCAGACCAATTTTCACAACCTGCTGCAACATTTGCATTTCACAGAAATAATCCTGACGAGCACTAATAGATGAATGTTGGTGCCATAATAAAACAGTATAAGGCATATTTACACCATCTTTACATAGAGAACACCATAGACACAGGAAAACCACAGATCTGGAACAAAATTAATTCAATCCCCAATACACCTTAAGTATATCAGCTTGACCTGAAATATTCATCCAAGCAATCTACCGGTCTTTCCTTTTTTGTGTGTGACTTAATTTTAACATTGTGCTCATGCAAAAGAGAGATTTGCTTTATTGCATTAACAATGAGACAGTTGGGGACTGGGTTCTATAACCATCTTCTAATATTTTATACTTCATGTTGCTTCATCCATATTAAGTCATGTTTGTTGGTGACATAACATGGGGTGATATGATGACTGGTGTTTGATGGACTACAAAATGACAAGATGTCCAGTTGACTAGAGCTTGAAAAATCAAGATTCCAAGAGTCTTGATCATGCACGTTTCCACTTCACGCTTACAAACTGCTTTAGATCAGACACATCATTTTTCATTTTCTATTTGTTTGTTTCATTTCTGTGTTTTTTTTTCATTTTTTTTTAAAAAAGAAACAAAACCAGGTACTGTCCACCATCTACTGTTTACAGAAAGAGGAGCAGCAAGGACCACACCAACTGCAGAATAGACCATAAGGACATCAGTCAGATATTGGTAATTGAATCAACATTGGATATTACTTGAAATATTTTGTGAAGCAGACAATTACTATAATCCATACTTCTGTAACAGTTCCGATTGCCACTGCCGTTTGCGTTCTGGAAAATAATCTGGAATGTGGATTTTTTTAAAATCCTGGATGCATTTTTTCATCTCTTCTTCCACACTCAACTTCTCACACACTTTCTTTTTAGAAAGATTCGTTTCACGGGACTTGCTAATTAGCGTCTGAAAGAGTTCACTGTTCCTGCGTTTGTCTGGTGGTGGCATCCACTGCACAGGTGCCTTTTTTGAGGGACGATCCAATGTCAAAGTATTTGGTTGGTGGGCTGCTGCCTGCTGGGCATTAGCTGGGTTTTCTTGTGGGGTACTAGCTTCTGAATGGCTATCACAACTGGAAGTGGAGAGCTCATTACAGGAAGTCCCACTTTCACTTCCTTTGTCTGTGACTTTATCTTGCTTCCTATCTTCGTGTTCTTGCTTGGGTGACACTGTTTTCTGGGGTGGTCCTAAAAGGAGAAATGGGAGAGAAAAACAAATAGTGGGATGTTTAGACCAAATGTAAGTTATATGTTCTCTAGATTTATCTTTAATCTCAGGTAAATCTTTGCTGCTGGGGAAAATAAATCTACAAAATCCAAACCTCCTGGCAGTTAATGAAACATGCAGAATGTTGAGTTTTTCTGTACCAGAAAGGCCTTTAGGTATGTTTAATGAGCTATTTTGTTGATTGTCTAGCATGGATCACTGAAAACAGGATTATTATCCTTTACTAGTCCTGGTTGTCTTTCATAAAGTACTTAATTAAGTTGTTGTTTTCCCTAACTACTGTTAGTAGATACCTGCCCTGTCTACATTTTGCTGCCAGGGAAACAAGCCTAGGGCTATTGTTGTCATTTTACAAAGTGGCTGTATTCTTGGAGGCCCAGGGGTACAGTCATATTATTTATATTTCTAGGGAGGAGATGGGTTTAAATCTTATACCTAGTCACTTAATTTGTTTCTTCCTATTTCCTTGGAGAAAGTGATGAAAGTAGTGAAAAAGAAGGTTCTTTTGGGGGGCCAAATTGTACAGTGAAAATAGGCCACTTCTTTGAAATACGATACTTGCCTTTTGAGCTGAATTACCTATTAAGCAAATTTTAAGAAAGCTGCCAAGATAATGATTTAAAACAGATAGTTTGTTTCCAGGAGGGCAATATCTTACAATGCTTGGCTTCACTGTAGGATTTAGACTATATTTCTCAAACCCTAGAGATTACACAAAACTCTAGTAAGCACTTAGATGAACAAAAACCTATTCAATTAGAAGCTTCAGTCCTTTTGTATTTCTGCTTTTCTGATGTCAAAGTGACTGAAACAAATCTTAAGTAAGTTGATATAATAGCAAGCATTTATATTATATACAAATATGTGTGCATGTACATACGCATACAGACCACCTCTCCCCAATAAAAAATAAATTCTGTAGGAGTAGAAATTCAGTAATCTTTGCTGTGTTTCATTTCATTGTTTCTTGAGGACTAAGCTAGCTATGTTTGTAGAAACTCATCAACAGGTTGGTAATGGGATGTATTTCTCAATCTTGAAGACAAAATATGAGATAATATCAGAGTTGTAATCTAGGTTGGTGGAGAGGCTGTCTGCAAGAATGGAATTCTAGATTCTTGAAGTATTAGGAAGTAGAGAAAAATATTCACTCTACTTTAAATTGTGAAAGGAATATTGTACTACATGTGCAAACTAATATGAAATCTGACCAGAGGAGGACAATGTGTAAACAAAACAAGAATAGTAGTCAAGTAAATCTGCTATTTATGTAATATAGGCCTTGTTAAGATCCTTCTCTGAGATTTTCCTGGAATGTTTATCCCTTTATTATTAATATGGTTAATATTAATATTAATTTTTTATTCTGGTATCCCCGATGTCTCCTTGAGATAGTTTAAGAGCTGGAAGGAACCTTAGAGTTCATCCAATTTAACCCCTTCATTTAAAGATGAACATATTGATGTCCAAAGAGGTTAAGTGACTTGTTTAGGGGCCCCAAACTTGATTTACTATGGGTATGCCCTGGTCTGTTTGATGGTGATTAAGGTTAAGTGATAAGTCATGGCTAGTCATACACATTCACTTATAAATGGAGGATGGAGGAACCAGAGAAAGACATAGGATAGAGGAGAGAGTCCTTTGAATATTCCTCTGGCTTCTAATCTAATTTCCTTCTGGGATAAGTATATCACAACTCAAGAAAATGGAACCATCCTCATTTTTATTTTTTCTATCACTCATGTCACTGCCTTGCTTGGGTTTCCTTTACACAACACAGCCTCACAGATCAAATTAAACCCAGTATTCATTGAGCACCTATTATGTTTAAAACATTGACTGTAGTGAGTGACATGAGGAATACAAGACATTGACTTGAAGGAGAGCATATTTACACGTGGGGGGAAAAAAGGTATCCAAAGAAGGAATATCACAAGAATGTTGGCTATGAGCTATATCTTGAAGTATTGTTAGATGTTTACAAGTAGCAAAGGATATAGCCACACTGTGACAATGTAGACTGAGGGTAAGCTTTACCAGGGCTAGCAGCCACAGCTGGATATCTTCACTCCATCACCCACAGAGGAAAACAAAGGAACTCAGTAGTGTGAGAGAGAGGTAGGAGATTTTTCTCTCCTCTTTTTCCCCAACACAACCATACTTAAGACTATTAAACTTTAAAAGATCTTAGACATCATTTAATTCAACATCTTCATGTTATAGATTAGAAAAATGATATCCAGAGGGGGGAAAACATTTGTCCCAAGTCATATATCAGAATAATGGCAAGAGGGTCACTAGAACCTATTTCTCCTAGTTCTTATCTCAGTGTCTCCTCAGACCTTTTGGTCTCAGCACTTCTTTATAGGGACAGCTAGTTGATGCAATAGATAGTATATAGAATGGGCCTAGAGTGGGGTGTAGGGCGTGTTCAGGAAAGACTAGTATGAGAGCTGCCACACCCTCTTCAGGGTTGCATTCCACCTTTGGTGTACACTTGATCCACCTAACTCTCACCTGTGGCTCCAAGACTGTAGCATGCACAGCAGCCACACCCCAGTAAACCCTTTTGGCAGACAGGGAGGTTGTAGGTACCCAAGGGGTTTCAAACCCATCAGTGAGTTAATGGGAGGTGTTCTACCCCAAGCATGTGAAGACTTCCCGTGGTGGAATAGTTGGATGAGAACAATTTATTTCAATGGCCATGAAGGCAGCTGAAGTAGGTGCTGTGAAGCACTTAGAGCTAGGTTAGACATCAAAGATGCGAAGGTCATCCACTGCATCTCGAGTCATCACCAGTCATCTTGACTCTGTCCTGCCCCTGAACTGTGATGACTCTGAAAGATAGAGTGAGGCCTACAATTTCATGCAACTGTGCCTTACTTAAATCCAATTTATGCACAAATCAAAAGACATCACCCATACCATTTTATCATTTTTACCTACTCTACCGCAGAGAGCACAACTCCAGTAGGCTGGTCACATTTTTCAAAAGACTATTTTATGGAAAACTCACAGAAGGCAAGCAGTCACATGATGGTCAGAAGAAGCAATACAAGGACACTCTCAAGGTCTTTCTTAAAAACTTTGGAATTGGGCAGCTAGGTGGCACAGTAGATAGGACTTCAGCCTTGGAGTCAGGAAGACCTGAGCTCAAATCTGACCTCAGACACTTGATACTTACTAGCTGTGTGACCCTGGGCAAGTCACTTAACCCCGATTGCCACACCAAAAAAAAAAAAAAAAGTTGGGGGCAACTAGGTGGTGCAGTGGATAGAGCACTGGCCCTGGAGTCAGAAGGACCTGAGTTCAAATCCGGCCTCAGACACATAACACTTACTAGCTGTGTGACTTTGGGCAAGTCACTTAATCTTAATTGCCTCACCAAAAGGAAAAAAAAAAGAAACTTTGGAATTGATTGTGTGACATGGGAGACACTGGCACACAATCCTCAGTATGGTGTGCCCTCAAAAGAAACATGATATGTACAAATTTACGGAGTCCACCCTAAATGTTCACATGCTATTTGTGCCTTGTATTGGTCTGATCAGCCATATTCAGACACACTGTAACTTGACTCTAATATAGTGATGTCCTTCATTCCTGAAGAGGATCAAAATGACAACAACCCCCAACCAACCAGGGCCTGGATTCAAGAAGACTCATCTTCCTGATTTCAAATCTAGTCTTAGACACTTACTAGCTGTATGACCCTGGACAAGTTGCTTAGTCACAAATCACTATTTTCTTCAGTTTCATCATCTATAAAATTGCTGGAGAAGGAAGTGCCAAAACCACTCCAGTGTCTTTGCCAAGAAAAACCCGAATGGGGTCACAAAGAGTTGGATAAGACCGAAAATGACTGAACAACAACAAATTTTTTACAATCTTAAAATAATTAAAGACCACCCAAAGAGCTTTTCTTTATGTGGATTATCTCTATAAATATTTACCTAATATAAACTAAAACAACTTAGTATTATTAAAAAAAATTGACTTTGCAGATCCTCAAAAATGTCTTGAGGACCTCTGGTGGTCCCTGGAGCTAATTTTGAGATCCACTGCTTTAATTATACAATGACTAAGACAATTTTAATTTCAGGACAAGCCTTAGGCATGAGGTGATTTTTAAGTATATGATACCTCCAATTCCTTCAGCATCATTCTGTCTGCTGAGTCAGAACTTCCCTTGACAGGAGACAATATCTTTTCTTCCCATTAGAGATAAATGGTTTAAAATAAATGCTTGGGAGAAGCAACATATTAATTGGAAAATAATTCATGCTGGAACTGATGCAAGATTTTGTCCTGATCAAATGGGAGGATGTTATTAGTAAGTATACAAGATATCTAAGAGGGTAATGAGAGAGATTACCTCTGGAGGGGAAGGATGAATACATGGGAAATTGTAGGCAGCACAGATTTTTTCTTGTCAGCATTAAGTCATTGAGCAAATGCGTATTTAGTACCTTTTATATGTACAAGGATCTTAGACCTAAAGCTGGAAGGAATTTTGGTCATGCAGTCCAATTTCCTCATTTTACAGGTGAAGATACTGAGGCCCAGAGAGCATTTTGCTTCTCTAAGATCACATAGACAATGAGTTGCACAGTCAGGATTTCAACCTAAATCCAGCTTTCCATAACACTGTAGGGACTATAAGGGAAATAAACACATATAACCATCATACAAAGAAATGTACAGTGCTTGTACTACAACAAAGGGAGGCTCCATTTCTATCTGGAGTGAGAGGAAAGCTATCATGGAGAACATTTGATCAAAGTATGTCCTATTAACAATGAGGGATTGGGGGGGGAGGCTGGATGTGACCCCAGGATCAAAGATCAAAAGCTAGAAAGGATCTTGGAGATCTAGTCCAGGGCTCTCCTTTTTCAGAAAGTTGAGTGAGTTGTTCAAGGTAACAGAGATCCTTAAATAAAAGATTAACATATTATAATAT